TGACAAAGGCAAAAACTTCTTCCTCAAATTCAAACTATCAATAAAGTGATATTAATAATGCGATTGTAATCCTTAATTACTCCATCTAATTTCAAAGGAATAAAAGAGGAGCCAAAAAGTAAATTTGAAAATATCAACGAGTGTTGGATCAAGTCGCAAGCGGCTTGTTCCAGTTTAAGCAAGATCTCGAGTTTGAGACTTTGTGTACGCAGTAACTTTCGTTGAGAGGCCCACCCACCATTTTGGTGCGCCACAGCTGATCGAGTCCGGAGTAGTCGGGACAAAACCCCGGATACCGGGCGGAAAAAAAAAAAAAAAGTAAATTTAAAAATGACATCCACTCAATATTACATTCTATATTCATTTATTTTTTTTATGGAATATATTCGATTATTAGTACATCTCAATTTGGAACACGTTGGAACACTCTATATATACTCTTCTAGAGTACTCCATTACGCCAAACAAAGATATATGGGGTTCTTTACAATGCTCTGGGAAACACTCTGCCTCCCTTTCTTCTTCCTCTGTCTTAAAATAGCCTTCTCATCCTCTTTACTTGCTTCTTCCTTCTCAACAACACATGTCTGCTCTCATGAGCAGGCTGCTGCTTTGTTGCAATTCAAGACTTCCTTTTCCATCAATTCAACTGTTTATAATCGTCCTTTATGTGAGCATTTTTATGATATTAAAGCAAATTATTCTAAGACTGAGTCTTGGAAGGAAGGTATCGACTGCTGTTCCTGGGATGGGGTAATCTGTGATAATGTCAAAGGTCATGTAATCGCCCTTGATCTCAGCTGCAGTCTCCTTTCTGGTACCTTTCCTTCCAACAGTACTCTTTTTCTCCTCAAAAACCTGCAGAGCCTCAATCTTGCCTTCAATGATTTTAGGCTTTCCAAGATTCCACCAGAAATCAGTCAGTTTGCTAGACTAAAGCATCTTGATATCTCTTCTTCTCGGTTTTCCGGCCAAGTTCCAGTAGAAATTGCTCACCTCCCCAAGTTAGTTTCTCTCAATCTCTCTGATTTGTACACTTGGGGTCCTGATCCTAATGTTTACTATATTTCTTCTCATAAATTGATCCTTGAAACAACTACCTTGAGAAATCTTGTTCAGAACTTAAGTGAGGTGAGAGAACTTGTGCTTTATGGAGTGAACATGACATCTGTTAATCCTCGTTGCTTCATGAATCTCTCTTCTTCTTTGACTACTCTTGAACTTCGGGAGAGTGAGTTAAGAGGAAACTTTCCAAACAGTATTCTCCGCTTTCCAAACCTCAAGACATTTTGTTTAGGTCGTTTAGGTCGTTTAGGTGGAGAGGAAAACCTCACTATTGATCTTCCAAGTTCCAATTGGAGCAGTCCTCTCCAATATTTGTATTTAAGTGTTATGGATTGCGGAGGGCGATTGCCAGAGTCTATAGGAGATCTAAAGTCATTACAATCTCTAAGTCTTAGCTGCAACTTGGAAGGTCCCATTCCCGCTTCTATAGGGAACTTATCCCAACTTACTTCCCTAAACCTCTATTCTAACAATCTTAGCGGACAAATCCCATCATCACTTGCAAATCTCACACAACTTACCTCTCTTGAGGTTTCCAATAATCAGTTTTCTGGTCCCATTCCTTTTCATGCAAGTAGGTTTTCCAAACTAATCTATCTAGACTTATCTTATAACTTACTTAATGGCACGTTGCCACCTTGGATTTTCACCCTGCCGTTGTTAAAGTACTTATTTCTCGATCATAACCAATTTCAAGGTCAAATAAATCAATTCCAGCAAAAATCACTCATACAACTAGATTTGTCAAACAATAGACTCCAGGGCTCAATTCCTAACTCAATTGCTAATTTAGTAAATCTTAGTCATCTCCATTTATCATCAAATCATCTCAGTGATTTAGTAGTAGCTGACATGTTCTCGGCACTTCAAAATCTGGAATCCATCAGTCTTTCACAAAATAATCTTTCTTTGAGAGTCAATGTCGATGCCAACTTCACATTACCCAAACTAACTTCTTTTGACTTGTCTTCTTGTAACTTGAGTAAATTCCCCAATTTCTTAAGACATTCAGATGGTCTGCAAAGCCTACTGCTATCAAAGAGTAGCATTCATGGCAATATTCCTAAATGGATATGGGAAAAGGATGATCTCAGAGTTCTTGACCTTTCTCATAACAATTTAGGGGGGAAAATCCCAAATTGTCTTCCTAAGTCTCTCTCAGTGCTGAATTTGAAGGGCAATAACTTTGATGGAAATATACCATTTTGGTTTACAAAGAGCTGTGAATTAGAAAATCTCAACTTGCATGGAAATCAAATGGACGGGCTATTACCAAGGTCTTTGGTGAATTGTAGCATGTTAGAGGTTCTAGACGTTGGCAACAACAACATAAATGATACATTCCCTCATTGGTTGGAATCTCTACAACAGCTTCAAGTGCTTGTCTTAAGGTCCAACAAGTTCCACGGTTTCGTGGATAGCACCAAAGAAGGTCCATCTTTTCCCAACTTGCGAATTCTGGACCTCTCCAGCAATTATTTTGTTGGTGCTTTGCCTATTCGGTACATTGAAAATTTTAATGCGATGATGGACACTCATAGAGATGACGGTTCCCCTGAATACATGAGGATGAGAGAGGTTTCTTATCAATATTCACTGGTGGTGATAATCAAGGAGTATGAGCTGAAGAAAATCTTGACCACATTCACTAGCATTGATCTCTCAGAAAACAACTTCGAAGGAGAAATTCCAGATGTAATTGGAAAGCTTAGTTCTCTCAAAGGGCTTAATCTTTCTCATAACAACCTCAGTGGTCCTATCTCACCATCACTAGGGAATTTGACGAATCTTGAATGGTTGGATCTCTCTTCCAACGAGCTAAGAGGTGAAATTCCAGATGAATTCCCAAATTTCTTAAGACATTCAAATGGTCTGCAAACCCTAGTGCTATCCAGAAATAGCATTCAGGGAAATATTCCTGAATGGATATGTGAAAAGGATGATCTCGAAATTCTTGACCTTTCTCATAACAATTTAATCGGGAAGATTCCAAACTGTCTTCCTAAGTCTCTCTCAGTGTTGAATTTGCAGGCCAATTTCTTTGATGGAAATATACCATTTGGGTTTCCAAAGGGCTGTGGATTACGAAATCTCAACTTACATGGAAATCAAATGGACGGGCTATTACCAAGGTCTTTGGTGAACTGTAGCAAGTTAGAGGTTCTAGATGTCGGCAAGAATAACATCAAGGATACATTCCCTCATTGGTTGGATTCTGTACCAGACCTTCAAGTGCTTGTCCTAAGGTCCAACAAGTTCCACGGTTCTGTGCAGAGCACCAAACAAAGTCCATCTTTTCCCAAGTTACGAGTTCTGGACCTCTCCAACAATGATTTTGTTGGTCCTTTGCCTATTCGGTACGTGGAAAATTTTACAGCGATGATGGAACCTCACAGAGATCACGATTCCCCTGAATACATGGCAACGGGATTTTATCAATATTCACTGGTAGTGATAATGAAAGGATTGGAGTATGAGCTGCAGAGAATCTTTACCTTATTCACTAGCATTGATCTCTCAGAAAACAAGTTCGAAGGAGAAATTCCAGATGTTTTTGGAAAGCTTAGTTCTCTCAAAGGGCTTAATCTTTCTCATAACAACCTTACAGGTCCTATCTCACAGTCACTAGGGAATTTGACAAACGTCGAGTGGTTGGATCTCTCTTCCAACGAGCTGGTAGGGGAAATTCCGGATGAGTTGGTATCTTTGACACAACTTGCTGTATTAAATCTTTCAAATAATCATCTTGTTGGACGAATACCACAAGGCAAACAGTTCAACACCTTTGGAAATGGTTCTTATGAAAGAAACCTTGGACTGTGTGGATTCCCATTGTCAAAATCTTGTGATGGAAATGGGACACAGCCGAGCTCATTCCAAGAGAAAGATGAGTCGTGGAGATTTGGCTGGAGAGTTGTGGTGTTAGGCTATGGGTGTGGAGTTGTTTTTGGACTGCTGATGGGATATCATGTCTTCCGTACAGGAAAACCAAAATGGTTTGT